TATTACATATTTTACCTAATCTAGTCTTAAATAACTTAAAAAGATCTGTATTTTTAGATTTTAATTATTTTTATAATGATAAGTAAAGAATAAATATGTAAAACAAGAAATAAGGTACTTACCCAATCATCTTTTTTCTTGCTCTCAATTGCCGAGGACAGATAAGCCTTAATTTTTTATAGTAATTATAGTAATGCACTTAATAATTTTTATTTAATTAAATAATGCACCAAAGAATATAGACTAATGGAATGCAAAAAGTAGACAAATTCCTTTATCTCTCAAAATTTTCCTGGTTTTCTAACTATACAACAAGAGCCGTTACAAATTCATCCAAGCTAGTCTTTAACTTTCCCATGGGAATGAATCTTGTACTGTGAGTGAAATTTATGATATTCTTCAGAACACAATGTTATATAATATGTCATTTGATAGATGAAAACCTTGACTTTCTGTTGGTTATAAGTAATGTATAGTGAAACGTAAGAGAGATATGTCAATGAATTGTGAAACAGAGGATGTGACAGGTGGGTGTGGCAGGAAGGGTCTGATTTTATATTCGATAGCTCTGTAACCAAACAAAATTGAGTTTATAAATATAATGGTTTGTCATAGCAATACTAATTTTATAGAGTAATTTACATTTAATTTCTTACTTTTTTGAGGGGTGGTGGATGAAATAGGGATGATGACATGCTAAGAGAAAATGTATCACACTAGTGGAAATTCAGGATTTTTTTAAATATTGCCTTGTAGAATTAAGAACTTAAACTTGTATACTATTAAGTCCCACCAGACAATTCCAATTGTCCCTTAGTGCTATTGGTCTGCTTAAAAATGGGCTTAGAAGCTGACATCACTTACAGTGAAGGGTTTGTAGAAAGATGTGTGTGGTCTAACATTGACTCTTTGCAATTTGTAAAAGCTTGTTACAATAGAAATTGTGACATTGGCCAATAGTGTGTAATAATGATCATCAGGTTAAACATAATCAACATTGGATGAAATTGTTCCACAATAAGCAGGAGACCTGAAACAGAATTTTTCTTCACTTAGCCCTCAGACTTTCTATAAAAACTGTAGATAATTTTAATAAAAAATAAAAGTTCATTTCATTGGTTCTTGTCAGATCAAGGTAAAATCAAACTCCTCTTTTTTCACTGTATGTCACTATTTTTTTTTTAAAGGCATGGTAGCCAGCTGATGCATTTCCACACAAAGGATTTTAAATTAAGGTAGAAAAATATAAATGTTCTAAAGGAATCAAATGTTCAATGAATGATTCTAACAGAGACAATTAAACACCTGCAAAATGTTATTAACATTTTTAACACATAATTACATAAATATTTAATAAATGCTCAATTTACATTAACAAAAATGTAACAAAGCAATAGAGGAAAAACTACAAATGTAGACATTTAGACATATAGATAAGCATTATCATGACTATCGGATTGCTGTCTGAAACATACAAAATAATACTTTTTTTAATTAATTTACTACAGATTATTTCATTTAAAAGAAAAAATATTCAATTACTCGATAATATAAGATGCCTATCTACATGAATGCATTTAGTGTTTACTAGTAAGATGTCACTAAAAAGACTTCAATTATTCACAGATTACTGCATCTAGAAAATCCAACACATGTACAGGAAATAAGCTACAGATCTTGACTTTCCATGCTTATTTTGCATGCTTTAAAACTTATAAAAGCAAATTCAATGTTAGATAAGGGAATCTTATACAAACAAGTAATAACATCATAACACATGTGAACCATACAAATTAGATACAGGATCCAAAAGTACTTAATGGACACAGAAAAAGTTTTTGTGGTTATTTCCAGATATAATTTATCCTGATGAACATTTGGAGCTAAGAAAATAGTGCCTGTCAAACAAGTACACAAACAAAAAATTACTAAAGATGCACTCACTCAAGTTGTGCTGTAAGTATTTTTGAATATTTGCTACATGCGAACACAATGATGGTTTATTTTGTGTGGACTTTTGTTTAAAAGCCATATTTGTGTTTCAGTGCAAACTGTTTTGTAGTATCATTTTGCTGACAATTTACATTTATCACCACACTGTATGTATATTATGTATTATTTTAAAAAATTAAAAAACATTATTGTGTAACATTACAATAACAAATGAAAGAACAACAATAACAGATGGTTTATAACATCACTTTCAAATAGGTTACTTATCTTCTACAAAAATGGGTGCTTCAGTCAATGTTACACCCGTTTTCTTTAATTATTTGTGTTTAGGTAAATCTAACTACAATTAACTTTCTCAATACAAATAGGTAGAATTGTACATGTTATGATTTTTCACAGTTACATTCAACATTAAATTAAATTACTGTATTATCAATACACATGAATAAACTCGGCATTAAAATGTTGTTAATAAATCAAATTTTCATACGAGTTTTATTAGTTTCTTATTTTTAAAAGTAAATATTTAAATAAGTTCTCTACCTCTTCTTGTCTGTGCAACATGACACTTAATCTCTCCAACTTGCACATTTCTACGTTTTCATCACCCCTCTATGATGTCCTGAGTTTTATATAAATTTATCATTATAATATAGATATTACTAAGGCATAGTCTAATTTTTATTGCCTTCAGTCTTCTTTGTTCAGAGATATAAACCAGAAAGTCAAATCCACCTGCTACTCTCTCCTATCATATCCTCTCTTTCACAAATTACCAATAATTCTATCTAATATTTACTATTACACATAATTTATAACTAACAGAAAAACAAAGTTTTAATTTACCAAATGATGTATAATACTACCTTGTTCTCAATAGAAATTGTTAGTTATTTTGCCTACAAATTCAAAGTTGCTATCACAAAGTTCAGATTGAACAGCGAAGGGAATTATTTTGAGACACTTATGCCTTAGTTAGAAAGCTAGTTAATTATACTAGTTATAAGACATTGTTTGCTTTGTTCATGTTATTATTTTGTGTTATTAAGTGCATATTTCAAATAAGTAAAAAGTATTTTAATAGCTAATAATATTATTACAAGGAACTAGGATTACATTTGGTCAGAGGGTCAACAACTTGTTAGGTTAGATAACGTAAGATAATGAAAAAATGATAACCATAAAAACTTTGTCCATGAGTAGCTTGTACATTATGTCATTCACTGCTGTAGCTTAACCTGCTCATTCACCATGTGATTTACAGCTTGTATTGTGTAATTTTTCAGCCAGATACTGTTCAAATAAAATCAGATGTAAACTATTAGGAGCCTTAAGATTTTTAGGATAAATAATTGTAATTTTCTTTTATAATTTTTATATTCACAGACAAATCTTTGGTAAAAGTAATTTATTTAAAAAATGAGATTTTTTTGTGTACAAAAAGACTTGTAATGTTTACTAAATGCTTGCCAAATTTCAAAGATATACTTACAACATTATAATTTATGGTAGAGATACTTTATGGTTACCTGGTGGTTGCAAGTTCAGTAAAAATGACTGAGCCCATATAGAAAGTTAAGCTTAGCTAAAAGCATTAAAAATGCCATTTCATTTAAACATTTATGATAAACTAATGTAGTTTACAGATAATTACTGTACAAAAACCAAGAAGAGTTAAACTGAGATAAAAGTTAAAAACTTTAACCTCAGGTTCAGCATCACCCTTATAAATTAAATTTCTTCAGAGAAGTACTGATCTCTGTATACAAACATAATAAATAACCAAAATAATGAATTTCTCAATCAAGTCTAAAAAGGAAGTATTTTGAATGGTCAGTAAAGAAAAAAATATCAACATCATGCCTTAATTTTATCACATATTTTATCTCTTCATTTAGAAGTTAAAAAAAGAATAAACAATTTTGACAATTTATTACAATGAAAGCAATATGGATGACAGAATAAAAATGGACAGTTTACCTATTACGGCACATTATTATAATAACGCAAATTATTATACAGCTAATTCCAACAGACAGTCCAATGACAACTCCTAAAAATGGATCTTGAGACTTCACACCTTTAATAGAATAATTAATCCTTATCAATTTATCATGTTTGGAATAGTTAAAATACATTTTCAAGAATTTTACAAGCTAAAAATTCAGCAATTAATTTACAACTTAAAGTTTCTACATAAATATATGTTATTGTGGATACTCTATAGATAACTGCATAGATACAATTTGTTTTATAAAGATATATACAACATCAATACATAAAACTTGTTAAATTTTACAGTACTTTATGCAAATAAATAATATTGTACTTGCTTTGACACAAATATTGGATTTAAGAAATCAATTCTTATTTTCAATTACTTTTTGCAATATAGAAAAGCAGTTTTTTTAGTTTATAAATAAATTACTTTGTTCTTTGTTTCCATTTATTAAAGAAAGTGTAGCAGTTCAGTGCATAATATCTCAGAAACAATATGTCATAGGCAGGTGAAATTGTCCAGGAGTGTTAGGAGTTTCGTGTAGATGTAAATGTCACAGTTATCTTAAGTTGCCACCAAGAGAACCACTGTGGTTCTATTTTGCACATTTTCCATGCTATAAATGAGACTGTTAACTGCAGCGTAGCTTATTCAACTAACGTGAACCTGACAACTGTGCAGAGGTGAATTTGTGAAATGTTATTACAACAAAAAATGAAACACTGAGGCAGCTCCCAGGTAATATCATAGAGTGCATAATATCTGCAAATGGCTTTGTTCTAGTGATGCCGTATGCATATTCATAAAAAAAACACTATTTCAGTTCTTGTCAAGACTAGAATTTGATGGCCAATGCCCTGTCAATATATTATAGACTGATGATGCACACTTCATCTTTTCTGGATATGTTAACACACACAACTGCATTATCTGGTGAAAACAAATCCACATGTAACATTTCCTACAAACCTTCATGATAATAAGGTGACAGTGTGGAGTGGTTCACAACTAACTTTGTTATTGGACTGTATACTTCTTCAAAGAACCATCAGCACATGGACTGCAAACCTTAACAGTCAGCAAAGCATAGTATCATGCAAAGCTCACAACTAACATGATTCCTGTTCATGCAGGATGGTGTCCCATCTGTATTTTGGTAACAAGGTGAAACACATTTTGCAAGAGTACTTTAAGAACAAAATCATTTCATGCCACTTTCCTTGTGAATGGCCACTTCATTCACTAGACTCAACACATGCAGATTTCTGATCATGGATACCTTACATAATGCGTGTACCATGGGAAGCCTTGCAGATTCAAAGTTTGTTGTTGGGGGGTGGGGGGGGGCTGATATTTGTTGTTACTTTATTAACGTTTTAAGCTTATACTGTGAGGTAAAAATGGCTGCTGCTATCATTCTGTCTGGTTTTTGAGCTCGTTGCTGTCCTAATTTAGGATCTTCTTTTTAATAAATTCTTGAAAATTTAAAAAAACAGAGAAAGAAAGGGAGCCCGGCGAGAATGTTTGCCCCCCGGGCCGTGCTGGCTCTCGACGTTCCTGAAAATACCCTTAACACTCCTATGCAATTTCACCATCCTATGCCATACTGTTTGTGAGATATAACATGCTGAACTATAATTTAAAGATTTAAATTCATAGTGTAAAAATAAACATTAACAATTTGTAATATTTCTCATGCACAATACATGATCACAATACAACAAATAATCTCATTTTACTTACATGTACTGCAAGCTTTTTTTAACGAATAACACAAACTATTTTATTTAAGTTTCAAAAATTATAGATATGAAGCATACTGTTCATATACATATTAATTGGTTACTAAAGGATTTTTACTTTTCCTGCAATACCTAGCTCTTTAACTTACCTTTATAATTTCTTCATATTTTTATATACAGGCTTAAAACTAACCTGACAGCAATAAATCTAAGCAACAGAGAGGCATTAAAGAATTCCAGCAGCATGTAGAATTACAGCAAGGAAACACAAAGTCAATAAATGATAGCATTTGAAACATTTTATCGAAATTATTGACATTACAAAAGCTTCTAGTACAGAAAATGGAATTTCCTATGTATACCATACATACATGTAAATTGCAGCAAGGATATGCACATTAACAAGCAGATAATAGAAGCTTCATAATGATGGTTGCCCCAAATAAGAAATTGTCATGTGACAAGCCAAATAAGACACAGTGACAAATTGTGACATCAATTGTTTACATAAAAACTGCAATCGTAGCAGAGAGAAAAGGTCCAGAAAGTTTATTTTGACTATACTAACTGTGGCAATGGAATGGTCAACAAAAAAGGAGAGATACATGCAAATTGGTAACTGATTAATGGCTTCTGACAATAGCCACTTAGTGTCTAGTTTTGGTTCAAAGAGTCTCCAATGAATCAGTATAACTGAACCAATTAGATGAAGGACCTACTAGTCGACTGAATTTGTTTTAGGTAGCGTAAGAATAGCCAGAAAAACACATAAAACCCTATGTTTTTGAGTTAAAAACCAACTCTCCCCAACACTTCCTGAGGTAGAAAACCTGTACCAGTTCTCTCCAGTGTCCAGACGACCTGCACCAGTTCCCCCAGAAGAAGCCAGACTACTGTAGTGACACTCTACCTTTTTCAGCAGGCTGAAAAATATCAGTGCTTTGGTGTTCTGACTGTTGATTCTTGGCCTCACTGATGCTAGCATTCGGCATCTGACTAGTAACTTTATTCAACCAGAAGGTATCATTTGTCTCTACTTTTGCACATATATCTACTATATATTTACACATTGGTATTTTTCAAAATTTTACGTATAGTATTCAGGCAGTCTGTTGTAATTCTGTACCAGGTTCATCAATAATTTAGGCTTGAGAATGCATTTGTACTAAATATGTAACATTGAATATGTAAAGTATATTTATTGTTATTAATGATCATTAGCCAGAACAAAAATTATTAAAATAATTTAGCACATAATATGAAAAATGAGAAAATTATTTACTTTTTTATAAATTGCTTTGTCAGTATAATCAATTAGAGTATAAAATATGTAAACTGGTTGACTCTTGTAATACAAACATCAGCTTACATAAAAGTTTGTTCTCATGCAAGCATGAAGCTACTAGAATGTGAAAAACTGTGTATACTGCAGAACACTTAGAATGAAAATGTAGAGAACATAAATGATGTCTCTAATTTAAATACTTTTTTTTTTTTTAGTAACAGAATAAGTTCCATAATTTTGTAAAACTGTGACTTTAATCCACAATATACCTTAGAAAGTTTCTTTTTACGTTTGTAGAGGACAAAATTTATCCTAAAAGCTATTATTGACTAAGTTACTCTAGTAGTTCTGCTCTTGCTGTTTATTTCAAGTACAGAAGTTTTATTTTCCTAAAAAGACAATTGAGTGACATTTCTGGGGCATTTCTTAGTCAAATGACCATCTCTAAGCTGTTAAAAAAGTGAATGAATTAACTGAAATGATTTTAACATTCACTAGCATATGAAGTCCAGTTTGCAAAATACTTAGTGTATTTTTTGGTACAAAGTTTAGGCCACTCCATACAAAATAATTAGGAATATTATGTACCATCTTCAACACAAGTTACCAATTACTTGCATCCTGTGAAAGTTCAGTATGATACTCACCTTTCAAAAAGCATATCTATGGCCATGGACCACAAGACTTATAATATATATTACTGTCTTTATTAGTTTGCAACAAACGTACCATTCTGAAAAAGATCAGTTATATTATCCAGTGCAGATCTTATCCTAAAAGCAACAATAGGACTTGAAATTCCTACACCTGCTGAAGTCTCTGCTCGTAATAACAAGAAGTACTTCTGGTTACTTGCAAGTCCTCCAATTATAGAATGTCTTCTATTTCCTATAAAAATTTAACTATTTATTAGTATGATTTTTTTTAAATCTATATTCACACACGCTTCCACTGAACTGTCATTGTTATTAATTTCTGAACAAAGCAAACTACAGGTATAAGTCAAAATAAATGTTAACCAAGTATCTAATATGACTAATTTAATATGCTAATTTAACAAAGAATATGAAGTACCATAAAATAAAACTTATAATGATTACAACGTATCAAATCAATGTCAGTTTAGAACACTGACTGTTAGTAATATTTTTGGTCACCATCCCAATAGTATCCCACATGAATTTAGAAGATTTTTTGGAAATTAAATAAAACATATTCTTAAAACAGATAAAATCTCTAATGACACACTGCTTTTGTCAGTGTATTATCAATTACCCAACATTAATTTATGTACTGACTGCAAATATTTTAACCAACCTCAACTTTATTGCTGTACTTTGTCTGGTATAAACTGAGAGATTGAAAATAAAAGCAATTCAACAAATATACAGCATCACTTGTTACTTTACATCACTATCACAGCTTATGCAATAAAAAAAAAAGGAGTTTATAAGTGATATTTCACCTTGTATTGCTTCTTAACTCCCTCGCAATGAGGTCAGTTGATTAAACTGACTTCGTAACCACTTTGTACTCATTATAATTTCCATACTATAACTTTTAATACAATATGTGAATCTTCACAGATTTCTAGTAAACATTACAAGTCTTTCTTACAGATCTTTTAATGAAGTATTTTTACTAAAGATTTGTCTGTGAATATATAGAGTCTTTAGCTTTACTATTCCAAATGTAAAATGATTTCCACGTTAAGATTAAAAATACTTTCTTTGTCTCAAAATCTCAAATTTCATTTGCATAATCTCTGAAACCTCCTAAATAATTTCCTATGTTTTTTTGCAGTAAAACTTTATATTTTACCTGTTATTTTCTCTACCCTAACTCAATACAACATTGGTCAAACTTGACCAACCTCGTAACTATAAAAAAAACATAAAAATAAATCTAAATTACCCCTTTTCTCTTTCTAGAATGACTTCAAATTGTAACATGAAACTATATTTATTTGTCCTAAATAGCTTTAAACTCATAACAGTATACGTCTATTCATACTTAAATTTTATTGTTTTATTGCACTTTGGACCTTGTCTAACTACTATTCACACCATTATAAGTTGTAAATCATTTGGAAAACTAATTACATTACGCATGAGCTACTCGCAATCGTACCTTGAAAAAAATGTTTATTATTTTATTATTACTTATTTTACCTAATCTAACCTTAATTCACATAAAAAAGTTTCCTATTTTTATATTTTAGTTACCTTTATAATAATAAATAAAGAATACACATGAAAAACAAGAAATAAAGTACATGGGCCTTCTTTTTTTTTTTTGCTTTTGACTGTCAATAACACTTAACCCTAATTTTTTTTTATAATAATGGTATTACTGCAATAAATAGTCGTTTAGTTAATTAAATAATGAACCAAAGAACACAGAATAATAACATGCAAAAAGCAGATAATATCCCATAACTATCAAACCATGCAACAAGATCCATTACAAATTCATCTGAGCTAGTTGATGTGTTTCCTGTGGGAATAGAGCTTGCACTGAAAGTGAAATTGACAATTCTCTGTACAGAAAACAACATAAGATAATACATCAGTTGATAGATGAAAGCCTTGGCTTTCTATTGGTTATAAGTAATATAGTATTGAACATCAGAGAGAACTATTGGCAATTTCTGAAAGAAAGGATGTGACAGGTGGGTGTGGCAAGGGGGGGTTCTGCTTTTCTGTTTGATGGCTATGAAAATTAATCTTTGCCTGAGTGATGATGACATGATAACGAGCAATTTATGTTAAATTTCATACTTCTTAGAGATGTGGTAAATAAATTAGAGAAGAGGGAATGCTTAGAGGAAAAATGTCACAATTCTCACACTAGAGGAAATTCATGATTTTTTTAAATATTTCCTACAAAATTAAGAAATTTCAACTTATATACTTATTGGTATACCATGAAAAGATAGTTTAATTAAATTTTAAATATAACTCATTAAAAACCTCATGACAAACACAGAAAAAGATGCTCGTGGAGAGAGAGTTAACAGATTGATAGATATACATTGTGAACTATATGAATTTAAATTTTTAACCTGAGCAGCACTTAATAAGGAGACGGGTCACGAGTGAAAAGCCATGTCATCTTGTTTGTTGACGTGCATTCAAAATGTTATTGAACTAGTATTTCATGAATTTATGTCAATAAAGTTTGGTATCAAACTGTAGAGTATAATTCAAATTTTAGTATTATACATTACTCAATTTCTTACTTTAAAAGTCAATTTTAAAAAACACAGACAAACATCGATTTTTGTGTGTTATGTGGTATGTTGAATACAGCACTAATTCAAATTAGATGTTTGTGTGTCAAAATACTAAGTTTCTAGTTTTGAACGAATTAGAAACTCAAATTACCAATATTAACAAGCTATAATATAAATAAAAACATCTTAGCTTTTCTATCTGCTAAGATATTGCTCATGTAATAAATCAAACAAAGTGGCACCCCCACCCACCTTATGCCATTTTTGGAAACGCTCTCTTATGTACACTTATTTCTATATATGACATGAATAACCAATCAGAAGCTCAGAATATCAACTTAGTGGCTTTCTCAGCCATTTTTTACAGGCTTGGACATCATTTCTTTCTTTTGAACCAATATTTCAAGGAGGTTGGGTGTGTCTTTAGTCTGCTTGAAATTTCATATTTTTTTAGACTAAAATACAGGTTAGTTACCAAGCTTGATAAATTATAGTGGAATTCTATGGTATCGATATAGTAATATATGATTTTTTGGTTATTCAACTGTGTATATATATATATATATATATATAAAACCAAAGAAAATTATTTTGTTCCATACCCTCCACATGCAAAATTTTTAAAGGATTAACAACCTACATCAAGCAGCAACCGAGTACAAAGGTTGTAACTAGAAGAGATAATTGCTTCCTTTACTTCTTTATTTACTGCTCTGTTTTAAGAAAAATAAGTTTAAGAACTCATTTCAAAATAGCAATAATCTATATACATATATAATGTATAATAACTGAAACATAACTGTAATTTAGAAAATACTAGTCTACTAAAACACAGTCAAGACAGGTCACTTTGTACAGACCAAAGGTCAGTTTTATGTTATTGGATATGGTAACATGAGTGCACGTGTACCATGTCATTGGAACTTCTGTTAGAAGTTTCTCTTAGAACCAAATAAGAGGAGTTACCACCATTTATATAATGTGTCCACAGCTAAAAGCACAGAGGACGATTGATAGTATCCCACCTTGATCAATATGCTAACCATTAGATCATGCCTGGAGCTATAAACCTAATGAAATGTTTTGAAGTGAACTTTTATATTGAAGTTTATGTTTAATTAGTCCATTGCATCAGAAAATAAAAAACGGAAAACTTCAAATATTATAGCTATCAATAATTTAACAATGCTTTCTAGTCCCAATACTTTCTCTACTGTTCTGTGTTTTATGTTGCAACATTCAATTTATCACTTATTTATACACACATATATGTAGCATATGAAATACTTTTTTCAGGCAAAACTTGGATACCTTAGTACAGTGGAGCTCAACTGCAACCTTTAGAGTAGTTTCTTTGACACAAAATAACTGATACATAAACATTTAAAAATACTGAGTTACATCTAGTATTATAAATTTAAACTTCCAATGAGGACTCACCTAACTAATCAATTTATCAATGATTACCAAGTCTAAATTAAGACCATTGCCTTCTCTGATTATAACTTTGAAGATATATAGGATAGATAGACAAATTCTGTAAATTTGTACTTAGGTGCAGAAAAACATTGACATTTTATCACCTTGTTCCAAAAACCTTCAGCATTAATATAGTTTGGCTCAACAATTAAACAGCATTAATGTAGCATATTACCTGCTAACATCATACAAAACTTTAAAAATTGAATGTAATTTAAACATTGTGAATATCTGTATAACTAGAGAGCTTTTAAAATAATGTTTAGTATACAAAATGTTACTGCAACTCAATTTATGGTATCGAACCTAAGGCAAAAAAACAAAATAAAAAATTTTCAACTTTAATCCTCTCTGCCCGGGCATCATTTACTGCGTATGTCACGAGGTTTTAATGGCTTACATTCTAAATTTTTTTAAAACTACTTTTTGTTTATCTTATACCAATTAGCATAGCATAAAATCATAGCTAATAATCCATATTTTAATAGTATAGAAGTTTTACGTTCGTAATTTTATAAGGCAATATTAAATAAAAACCCTGAACTTGTGAGGAATGTGACATATTTTCTATAGGCATCCCCTCTTCTCCATTTTATTTACCACCCCTACAATAAGCAAAATGTAATGTAAATTACTCACTATAAAATCATCACTGCTCAGACAAACCATAACTTTTATAGCCTTCAAATTTGTTTGGTTACAGAGCTATCAAATAGAAAATCAGATCCCTCATGCCACATCCTCTCTTATAGGATTTGTTAATACTCTCTCTTACATTTAATCCTATAGTCAACAGCATATGTATTCTTTATTTATTATAATAAAAGTAACTAAAATGTAAAAATAGGGACCTCTTTAGGTTAGTTACAGTTAGATTATGTAAAATAAGTAACAATGATAACATAATAAAAAATGATTCACAAAGCATGCATACGAGTAGCTCATTGGTAATGTAATTCAATAGCATTACATGAACTCCATGTTCCCAAAGTTATTTACACTTATAATGGCAAGAATAGTAGTTAGACATGGTTCAAAGGGCAATATAAAAGTATACATAGATGTATACTGTTAGGAGTTTAAAGATACTTAGAATAAACAAATGTCATTTCATTTTAAAATTTGAAGAAAAAATGGTAATTTAGATTTATTTCAATTTTTTTTGGTGGTTGTGAGGTCAGTCAAATTGACCAACCTTGTATAGAATTAGGGTAGAGAAAAAACAGATAAGATAGTTTTACTGAAAACAATAATCTGAAATGTATTTAGGAGGTTTTACAGATTACGCAAATGAAATTTGAGATTTTTGAGTTGAAGAAAAATATTTTTAATCTTAACATGAAAATCACTTTGCATAAGGACTATTCAAAACAAATACTCAATATATTCACAGACAAATCTATTTTTGGTTTATTAAAAATACTTCATTAAAAAATATGACTTTTTGTATATGAAAGACATATAATGTTTACTGACAGTGTGCCAAAAATTTTGTGAAGATATACATATTATATATATATATATATATATATATATATAAACACACACACATACAGACATTACTTGGG